CCAGGAAAAGCCTTCAACAGGGTTGCATCGTACTTAATCAGCTCGGGGCAACCAAGCTCCGCAATAATCGGGTCTAGAACAGAAGCCAACTTTTGCACAGCGATCAAGACGTTGCCAACTAATCCGCGGAGGACGTCAGGAGCAGCTTCGCTGGCAGCCTGGAACGCAAGGCACATTAGGTTATTACCCTCGAGAAGCGTCTGCGCGTTGAGAACGTTGCCTGTCAAGTCGTCAACATCGACGCCAGTGAACGTGTTTGGCTGGCCAGTATTTCCGCCGATTCGGATTAATTCGGGGTGGGCTTTTTCGAGCGAAAGGGCTTCGGAAGTGAAGGCCAGGATGCTGTAGTCGTCGCCGATGACGCGGCGGTACCACTGTGATGTGTGTTAGCGAATGCAAGCGGATGGTGTTACCGTGGGTACTCACGTTCTCGGGGATCTTCTCTTGCCCACGAGCCCACTTGTAATTACCTTTCTCTCCAGTAACACCCTGGAATGACATGAGTGTCTCGGCATCAAGGTAGCCTTCTGGGTTTTCAGCAGTGTGGTTGGCGAAGAAACGGTAGGTGAATTGATATGTCGCGGGGTTAAGGGCAAGGGCCGTGAGTGGGCCTGAGAAGTAATGTCCATTCGTAGCAATCGAGTGCTTCGTGCGGTCAAGGCGGAACGCGGTCAAGACGGGGATATCAATCCCGTTCTCGCCGAGAGGCATAGAGAGGAGCTGCTCGAAATAGTCCAAGTTGAGAGAGATGGGGTTGCCCCTACGAGTAATGAGTTATGCTGACCATGCAACATGCAGAAGAAACGGGAATGACATACGTTGAGTACAAGTCCCCTCGCGTGGGAGATCCATCAACCTCGAAGCGGTTGTGTGACGCACTCAGGCCTTGTGGTTCTCCGAGAAGGCCGAGTGATGAGGTGACACCGCCTAGGAGTCCACCAGTCTTAGGTTTGCCGCCAATCGAAAAGGAGGTGAGATCACCGGCCATGACGGCGGAGTAGACTGCCAGAAATGCGGAAAGATCCAGGCCCATGCCAAACACTGACTTTGTTAGCAGTCCGTGAATAAGAGCGTAAAGGCATGCAGACCTTCATTGGCGGCCGTCGTCATTTGTGTGATTGTGGAGATGCCATTTCGGGGAAGGTAACCGTGGTTTGCCATCACGTTGATACCAGGACAGGGTCCACGGAGATCATTGGGGCCTGGCGCAATCTGACAACGAAGTCGTTAGCAAATGCAACTACATGTCGCGCATCTCGGTAGGGCTACTCACGTATTTATGGTCACCAGTGACACTGATGCGCTGAGCCTCTGCGTTGAATGCACGTTTGACGTGGGTACCCGATCGCTTACTCTCGAAATCTCTTGAGATATTCTCTGTCAAAGCGGTGATTTCCGCAAGGGTCGCTTCACTGATGTCGCCTTTGAGCATGCTCGCAGGGAAGGCGAAGGTCGCCAATGAGAAGAGCGATGCGCTGCATAGTACTGAGACCCTCATGTTTGCAACAACAAGCTCGGATGTTCGGGAAAGAGTGTGAAGGAAGGACGTGTAGTTGGATTGAGGAAGATGCGGTCAGCGACAGGGACGGATCGTTTAAGTTTCATAGTGGCAAATGAGTGCTGCACATACGTGGGCCGCCATGACTCTCCATCTAACTGTCGCCGATAGAGATGCCAATCCGGGGTCAGGTACCCTCCAGCACAGTCATGACAGCCCGCTTTACTTGCTTCAAATCGCAGGGTGGAGGGCCTGAGCAAAGAGATCGACGTGGGCGTTCTCTCTGCACGCCTTGACCAGCCGTAATCCGCTCGCGCGAGCCATATGGTTCAGTCCGTTCCCGGGTTTGCTAAATCCCGCGACTGGTGTTAAGGAGAATAAAGCGCTCGAGCCTTGCCTAGGCAAGAAGTTAGGCTTGCACTGGGTACATCGTAGGAATGTCGAGCGAGTGTCCCAAGACTTTTGAGCCCTGAACGGCGATCCAAGCGCGCCGGACCGTGTTCGGGTGGGTACCTAGGTAGTTAAGCCTCTAGATCGGCAGCTAGATCTCGCCTTTTTTACCGCATTTGGCTGACCAACGTTGTACAGAGATGATGAACGTTGCCCGCATCGATCAAAAGCGGGTTATCTATTTTCAACACGCGTGAGGCTGCAAGAAGATTGAGTGATCTATGCATCCCGCCCTCGCCCTACTTCCATGCGGCGGAAATGGAGATTGCGCTGGTGAACACCTGGGCATGTAAACCCGCCGGCAATAACACATCGGGCCAAGACGCATCCGAGACCAGCGCATGTGGTCTAGCGGGCATGATGTCTACCTAGGCCGTCGTTCATACGTGCTAGTAGGTTGAAGGTATATTCCTCGCTACCCAAGTCAGAGCCCAACGCAGGGACAACGTCGGACTGAAGATGTTATAGTTTCCAAAAGCCGATCATGGGTGACAAACCACTTTCGGGGACCAATGCAACAAGATCGGTGCATTACCCGGCGTGGGCTCCAAGTAGGGTCGCATGCGAGTTCAAGTCTCGCGCAGAGAGACCCCACTGCATGATTGGCGGCGAACAATGATACCTACGTACTATTCTAAGCGTCCCCACAAGCATATGCCAAGTTTGTACTTCAGAACAGCCCCAATGTTCTAGTTTGCGTTATAGGAGACGGATCTCAGCCGGGTACCCACCACCCAAGGAAAAGGGTGAATACCGGCCACTACCCAGGTGGCCAAATTACATCCGCAACCCTAAGTATACTCGACATCGTTCGATATAAACTGGATCCTTGTCCCACGTCAGCATCGTAACGAAGCACCACAACTGGATCTTGATATAGCGCCAAGGAGCATTCGCTTCAATTCCTTCTCCTTTGCGTAATTCTTGAGTCCAATCCAAATGGCTGCCTACGATTCTTGGGTTAGCAACCCAGACGAGAGCCATGGACCGCTCATGTCCGTCGTCACCTGGTCGCTCGTTTCTGTTTCCGCAGTCTTTCTGTTCTCGCGGCTTTATATTCGGCAGCGTCAAGGGAAGCTGTGGCTGGACGATTGCACACTTTCCGTCAGTTGGGTAAGTGCCACAACATCCCTAAGCAAAGAGCAGCTGACTCATACGACATAGATCTTACTTCTGGTCCAAGTTACCATAAACCAACTGTCTATCAACATAGGCTACGGAAAACATACACTTGACCGTAAGTTGCCAAAGGAGAATTGCACACTTCACAGCTCGGAACGCTAATCTTTACGCTAGTCGATTTGCGCAATCTTGATAAAATGATGTATATCGGCGCGGCGGAACTGACGATATATACCGTCGCTATTGCGCTCAGCAAGATCTCCTTTGGACTCACTTTGCTTCGGTTGACGGACGGACGGGTCAGACTTTTCGTAATCTTTGCGATCTCTACCCTGGCGATTTTCGCAGTCCCTGCCACCGTCATACCATGGGTACAATGCAAACCGCTGGCCAAAACCTTTGTGGACCTCATACCGGGCGAGTGCATTGACAAGCATCCCTCTGTCGTGTATGGGCGTTTCCAAGCTGGTGAGCAGACAGCCTCAAAGTGTGTACCCTGATTCCTTAGCTGACATGCGACGCAGTGTGGTCAGCACTTATGGATGTGTGTCTTGCTGTGCTGCCGTGGAAAATCCTTTGGAATCTGCAAATGCGTACCGCAGAGAAGATCGGTGCAGGTGTCGCCATGAGTCTGGGAATACTGTAAGTTCATGCATTGCCGGATTGAAGACTGCGCTGACCTGGTTGAAGAGCTGGAGTTACGTCAATTATCAGATCCACATACATTGAGAAATTGACAGTCCAGGATGTATCATGTAAGGCATCTCAAGGCGTGCACGGATCATTGCTAACAGCCACAGATGAATCGTACAACTCCATCATATGGGCCGTCGCAGAGTGTTCCATGGCCATCGTGGCTACCTCGATTCCCGTACTTCGCGTCATTTTCAGGCAGGCGTTCAACTCGGCGATGGAAGGCTACACGGGCCAGAGTAAAAGCAAATCAAGATCGAACCCTTCCAACGCTGGGAGCTCGGGGAACCGATTGAGCACACGACAATTGAGCAAGAAGACGCCAGATATATCGGTCAGCGGAGAATCTGTGAAGGAAGTGTTCGGACGTGGATCACGTGGATCCAAGAACTATGTAGAGCTAGATGATTTGGTAGTCGACGAGGCGACTGGGCGCGCTACTGCTTCGTCTCTAGAGTCTCTGGCAAACGATGGCGAGCGCCATGTGCTAAACTGGCACGTGTAGCTTGCTCTGGGATTACCTAGGTCGCGCGCATAAGGCGGCTAGACCTCGAGGGGGCTGCGCGCGAACAAGTCGCATCGGCTCATCAATCCATCACTCCTGCTGCTGGGGGCTGTATTATTCATAAACAACATGGAGTCAATCATACCATCAATCCCGTCATCATAGTGGTGGCTCCAGATGTCGGCAGAAGGCCGAGTCACCGCTCTTTCCAGGCTGTGGGGCCACGTGGTTAGCGTTTTGGCTCGAGCGTCCGCGCGCTCCCCAGGACTGTCCACATGGTCGCACCCGAATGCTCAACCACGCTCGAGAGATCTTGTGCCCTAGGTGCTGCTTGGCTTCCTCGTTCCCATCATGGCCCCGACATGCTGCGCGCGGCTGCTATCCGACATTGATGCACAGACGGAGTGCAGCCAGGAAGCCACTTCCCGAGATGGCAAATTCTGCCCATTTCATGCTTGGCAATGCCACGGTAAGCAGAAGTCGCTATTGTCGTAGCGTTTCTAACACTACGCAGCTCTCTACCAGGGATACAAGCGGCGAAATGGCCTCCTCGACTCATTGGAGCTGCCTGCGTACCTCGCAAACACTACCAGATCCCTCATCGCTCAAGACTTCAACGATATCACGCAAACAACAGCAATCTCTGAATTACAGAGATATCTATTTCGAAGATACACTCTGCTCGATCGTGTACTCCGAGCGCGCAAACTGCATCATCGCCATTTCTTTGCAATGGACAATAACTATGGTCACACGGTATATCTGGACCGACTGCAAAACAACAAACACGAGACGGTGAAGGCTCTCGAGAAGCTTGGCAAACGAGCCGCCGCAGTCGTTCATGAAGAGCAGCGGTGGCATCACTGGGTGAGGGAATGTCAGGAGAAGGAGGAGGAACAGGCGCAGAGCGAAGCAAAGAAGGTGAAGCTGGAGTTTCAGCTCTTTAAAAGATACGAAAAGGAACTCGATCGTCGTCAACGGGACATGCGATCTAGAGAGATCAAGAGGCGCGAAGAACAGTACTTGAACCAAGTATATGCAGAGCGCGCCCAGACGATGTCAAGGGAAGAGGAAGAGGAATGGGAAGAGCAGTGGGACCCCATTCAAGATATTTATGGCTACGAAAGAGGTCGCTATGTCGAGCTCATCAATATGTTTCTGATGATCAGTGAGCAGGAACATGAAGACTATTGCGCAGGTGTGGAGGCATCTCAGCTTGATGGCCCTGCCGCACCGACATCTTCGCACCAAGCCACCGGACAAGCCGCGACGGGCAAGAAGTCCATCATAATGGAGACCAAGGAACAGATGCGCAGGAGACTTCAGACGCCTGTCAACTTCGAGCGCGCGCCAGGCCAATATCTTCCTGAGTTTTTAAGCCCAAGGACGACGACTCCCGTAGTTCCTCACGACGAGATCGAGACGCTCTTGGATGAGATTTGTGAGATCAAGAACTTTCTCTTCTGTCGACTTCTTTTGGCATCAAGTGCACTCCTGCCTATCGCACTCCAGGCCGGCAGCATAGAGGAACTCCTGCAAAGCGAAGGTGTGACAAGGGAACATTTACGAGATGTTTGCCTCAAGCTGGAGCGTCCCAGTCTTGAGAACATGCGAGACGCGTGTGCGGACTTCATGCGTGAAAGGGATGGGGCTGATGCACCAAAAGACATTGCCAAAGACCTCGCCCTGATGGACATTATCGACGCCCAACAGCGAATCCAGATCAGGGTCTGTGGCCGCCATATGTACTACTACCGTAACGAGCGCGCTCTCAACCGCAGCGGCTGGTTTCACTTCTCTATCATCGCGAAAGACTCCGAGCTCGCCGATGCCGTTGCGCTTTGTCGAAACTGGGAAGAGTTCTTCGAGCTCACGATACTGTCAATGTATCGGTTGTTCCCGGCTCCAAAGTGGACGAAGTTTGTGGGCGATGTGAATCGTCAATGCCTCCTGCTTCTCGGTTTCATACCTTATTTCCAAGTCGACGGCGCCGAAGCTAAAACGACGCAACATAGGATTAGTGGTCGTGCTAGTTCGGGACGGTCGTACAATTTTAAGGAATCACGCAACATCCTCTGCGGTATCGTCAAGCGTGACGATACCCTCAATCGTCGATTCCTTGAGTGCCTAGCAATGGAGTCGGCCGACCTTCGTGTTTTGGTTCATGATCCGGTGACTGGCAAATTCGTAATCCAACCACCAAAGGAGGAGTTTTGGCTGAGCCGCGAGAAGGCCGGACGTGGCAGGTCTACAAAACATGAATACACCGTCACAGTTGAGGTCGATAACGCCTTTTTCGAACAGGCCACCGCCTGCAGGGCTTGGTCGTTGAACTTCAACGATTATTATAATGTTTATATCTGGGATGCACCGCCCGGTCGGAGTGCAGATGAGCTACAGGGCAAAATACAAGAGGTCCGTAAAGTGTCAAGATATCTACTTTGAAGGAGCTAACAATGACAGGCATTTTTACGTACCCACAAATGTAGGAAGGGAAAAGACATGCTTGTCAGAGTTCGGCACATAGTGCAACATATCACAAATGATCGTGAGAATAGACGTGTTCGCAGCATTCGGCCTGGAGAGAATGTTCCTAGCATGCTCGATGACTTCGAGCTTGGCGCAGAAGCTTTTCCCATCCCGATTGATGAGATATACAAGGAGCGATTCTTCACAGAGATCGACGAAATAGAGGATGCCCTTTTATATCCAAGGCGCGCACCTGGCGACAAGTCGCAGCCACCCTTCCCCCGAGAGATTGTTGGGAAGATACACCGGAGGACAAAGTGGAAGTGGTGGAAAATTGCCAGCGATGCCAGCACTGATGAAGAGTCATCTGCTTCTGATGAAGAGTCATTTGCTTCAGACGATGCATCCGAAGCTAAATCCGACGAGGGATCGCAGAAAATGAACGATCCAAGAGCAGTGTTATTGCGGCGCATGTTGGCGAACGACCCTCATGTTAGTGTTCTGGCCGGAAAAGCGATTGACAAGCTCCCTTCGAAGAGAGAACTCGACGCATTCGGTAATCATGGAACGCTGATCCCACAGTTTCAATGGGCGGACAGGTCACTGGGTTACGATCATTTCTTACCTATGTTTGACCGTAAACGTGCTTCTGTGATACCAAGCGAACTCAGGGATTCTCCTTCGAAGCTTATGGACACGCTAAGAACGGCTCTACGCCGTCAGCGAGAATACGATATCCAAGGGAAACATCTCATTCGAGAGCTGTGCGGGAGCCATGGGCAACGGTCAATACACAGGGGTGAGTTTATCATCGCTTAGAGTGACACCAACTAACAGTTGCATTCTAGTTGAGAAAGAGGCATTGCACATGGGCGACCTGGAGCCCGGTGGCCTCGGCCGGTATATGGAGCACAAGTCCATGGTAACGGCCATGGACAAGTTTGTCATGAGCGACATCAACACAGGCCCGTTCGAGCTCTGCAAGTTCATGCACATGGCACCTCTCATCCAAAGTGAACGTCGAATCGTTGACGAGGCTTTCCAGGCTTACGCCGCCATCGCCTTATTCTACCAGACGGAAGAGTTTCTTGCTTCCGAGCACGGCCTACCATTCCGGTCTTCCCTGCTGTTTGACCAAGAAGAAAGAGCTAAGCGAACCCCTGATCGAAGAAGCCATGTCAGCAATCCATATATGCCAGCAGAGTTGTGGACAGATCGAGATGAGCTCCTGAGACGCAATCAGCGAAGCAAGCTTGATCCTGTCTACGATATTTACCCGATAGAATGGCGTAAAAGGATACGTACCGTGGTTATGACCTTGTACAAAGCCGGCATCATACAAAGTGCTTACACACCCCAAGTTAAAGGTGTTGCAACTGCCGCCGCCGAACCCAACCGCGCGCTAGATTTCTACCTTGATTTCCGAGCCCAATCCAGACCTAAATTCAAGGCTGTCTTGGCGGATCCTACACCCTTGAATCGCGACTACATAGTCAAGGCGGCAAACAAGTTCGCGGCTCAGCATGGCTCTGCCAGGTTTTCGGCGCTGCGACTGTGGTCTGCTCCGCACTTTTACCCAATGCAAGCTAGTGGGAATGAGACATTCGCAGACGATCGCGGCAGGTACTGGGCTTGGAGATACATGCCTAAGGACTCGCCACTCAGTGAGTGGAACACGCACAAGATCGTGAGTGACATGATGGAGCAATACAGACGGATATGGGGAAACCAGGTGAGAGTTGCCAGGGATCTGATCCTGGTCATGGGCAAGGACGCAGACGAGTGTCGGAGGCTCAGTGAAGGGGTGACGTGGGCTACGCAGACGCGCAGGGTGTATGAGATGGACTTTTGGCGAAGCTTTGTAAACGTAGACGCCGGCTTCCTGGAAAGGTTGCATCCTGTATGGCTTTCGTAGCAAGGCGAGCAGACAGCAATGGCAGCTCCTGACGGTTCCTGATGCACTATCTTGTCGGTCAGCAGGGTGGCTTGGCACATGCCGGAGCGGATGTACATGTACGTGTGTTGTGCATGGGAGAGCCCCCACGGAGCGCTGCCTGAAAGGGCAAGGCGTGTGTGGGAAGCTGGGCGGGTCGAAAGCGTGCGAGGGCGGCACCCTGAGCGCTGCCCCTCATGACCGGCGGCGGAGGCAGAGATTTGCAAGCACCATCTGGACGCCGCCCGAGCACGCGATCAAGCTTTGCGACGCTGGGCGCCGGCCAACCGCCCGTCAGCCCCCGAATGCGGCGCTCCCGACACCAGGTACGCGACGACTGACCTCTCCGCCCTCTACCAGCACGCGAAGGCGACCGACGCCAGCCCGGCACATGCCCAACGCGGAACTGCAGTCGATGCTTCTCACGGCCGACGCGGGCCTGGCCGAGGTCCCCGGCTGCACCAGAGAGCAATTGGACGCCCTGGCCCGCAGCGTCGAGCTGAGGAGGCAGCAGCTCGAGGCCGACATCCGGGACTACATCGCGGCCAAGCAGGCCGAGCTGCGCAGACATGGCCACGAGGTAGGCGTCCCGGCCCCTTCTCTGCGTGCCGTGAGAGACTGATTTGGGCCTAGCTTGCAGACCGGTACCGCGACATGGCAGGCGGCCAGCAGCCTGCGCCTGCAGTGCCAGAGCAGAGCTGCCCAGGGCCTGCCCCGGGCCCTGCTGCACCGCTCGACCCGGCGCCCGACGACAGGATGCGGCTCAAGAAGCACACGCGCGTGCACAAGCGGGAGCGCGAGCTCTATGGACTCGTCACGCCCGTCTTCCTTCCCTTGCTCGATGCGCGCGACAGCTCGCCCGAAAAGAAGAAGACGCCAGCCGCAGGACATGCTGAGCACGCCCGAGACGACCCGAAGCCTACGAGCGACGCCCGAGACACCGCGGCCATGGCGCTGCGAGAGCCAGCCCAGCTGAGGCTGCCAGCCAAGAAGTCTGCGCTGCGGCACAAGGACACGCCTCGATCGCGCCGGAAGAGAGTCAGTCTGGTCATCCATGGCCAGACCGTCCTTCCCGCAGACACCGTCGCCGAACCACCTCTGGCTTCGCCCAGCAGCGTCGCAACATCGGCTTCCACCTCGACCGCTTCGCTCGACGACATGATAGATCCGCGACTCACCACCCCGGACCCGCCAGTCCATGTCCAACGCCCTGACGCCGTGCACCACAGCCTACCTCTCCCCATGACCAACGCCATCAACTCGGCTTCCAAGCTCCTCTCCGAAGCCCCGACACCCATATCCGTCGCCGCCGCCCACATCCCCCCAGTTGCCTCCCCACGGTCCCCCAGCATACCTTTGGGCCCTACACAGACCGCGACACCCACATTCCTCGACCCTTCGCCCGCTCTGCACCAACACATCACGCAAACGATCCCGGACACCGCAGGTCCAGACCCCATCTACTCGACCGCACCAGCTACGAGTGCTGAACTCGAAATTGACGACCTCGCAGACGACGACACGAATTTCGATACTTACGTCGGCGGCTTACACGGGAGTGGTGTTGACGATGTGGATCAAGCGGGCAGTTACGGATATCCGAGTAGTCTGGGAGCCAGCTACATGGAGAGCTATATGCAGAACCGACCATTGAGCGTGAGGATGCAGGCTGCGAACAAGGCGGGCTTGGCTGACGAGGAGAAGAGGAAGCTGCTCGAGCAAAGAGACGACAACGAGGCCGAGGCTGAAGCTGAAGAAGAAGAAGAAGAAGATCACAGCAACAGCACGAGTGCGGGGCATAAGGCTGTTGACGCAACCGAGGACAATTTCATGGGAGATATGGACGACTTCTGAGATTGGATGCCACATCCTTGTATATACGCGCGACCTTTCGATCCTTACGCAATCTTGTTTGTTAGACACTAGGCATTTCATGTACACGACAATATCTACGGACCCTTTATACAGCCCTGTTTGGTTTACTCTGGCTCCAAGAGATGCTCACACTTTAGTCCCGCTGGCTAACCTGCTGAACTCGATTTACGACTCTATCGAGCAGGCTGACCATTTCATCGCTCACGAATCTGGGGTCGTCTTGTTGGATAAAGTGGCCACAGCGGACAGCTGTGATGGGACCTATGGCTTTGCCTTCGTCCGTGATGCGACAGAGACCTTCGTTGTAGCGACGCCAAGCGGGGTTGGCATAAGTCATGGTCAGAATCTTGGGTGTCTGCATTGTACCCTCGTCTATTTGCCGGGTTAGTCTCTGTAGTCCAAGCGTCGACTTGGAAAGAGACAGGTACGTACACGACTGCTCGGCAAACGTTTCCCAGTCATGACCTACGACTGTGAGGTACGGGCCTCTGCCCAAGTAGCCCTCGAGTTTTGGTGCATCTGCGTAGGGTAATAGTTGTGGCAGATTACGTCTGGATAACCCCTCTTGACTAGGAACGTCGGGATGGAACATTCTTCTATACTTTTCTCTGGTAGCTCGTACTTCGTCTTGTGTGACACCTTCGGGTAGTGTGTGCGAGTTGAAGTCTGGTGCATCGGGGTCCGGCCACAGGTCTTGGTAGTCCGAGTTGGCCATGATGCTGTCCAGGAACAACAGACCAGATACGGTTCCTGGATAGCATTGCGCAAAGAGTCTTGCAAGTGCGCAGCCGATGCTGTTGCATACAAAGATGAGACAGGGGTAGTGCGTAGGTTTGTTGACGTCAAGGTGTTCCCTCCAGATTTGTAGGGTAAATTGCTTCAGTGCTTTGACTGCAGATATCGCGTCGTGTCCGTGGGACGGGGGTGGTTGCTGGTCGTCGGGATCAGCATCTGAATCTCCTTGACCATATCTATCGTAGCTCAACAGAGCAGGATACGGTAGACGCCCCACTATTCTCTTTTCCAGAAAGCTGCGCATGGCAGGATCCCATGAGCTTCTTGGCATCATGAGCCCGTTGAGGAAAACGATGAGCGTTTGCGAGAAAGGGTTCGGATGGCCGCCGTGAGGTTTGGATGCAGGGTAGTACGTGTAGTGCAAACGTGCACCGGGCTTATTGTCCAGTGCCAGTGAGGAAACCTCGGCATCCGGAAATGGTGGAAGGTCATCTTCGGATGAGTTCATGCTACCGGGGAATGGAATCGCGTAGCTGCGATTGTTCATGGAGTCGTGTTCCCGAGCTGTGTTGATGGGGTCTGCTTGTGCCGAATTGGTACCTGGTGAATTAGCCTGGTCCATGGTAGCAGGCTTTTCCCTTGTTGCCGGCCCTCCTCTTTCTTTCCTGGTCAAGCCTGAGTACTTGAGTTGCGGAGAGATGTACGGGAATGCATCCATGGCCTGGCGCAGTGGGGGCGTAGCGATTACCAGCCATGCAAATTGAGAAGGGGCGATGTGCAACTGAAGCGGAAGACGCCGGAAAGGGGTCTATCGGGCAGACAGAGACGGCTGCAAGATTCAGGAACGAGTAGGCAGCTGTTGTGTTCACGGAGGCTAATTCGAGAGTGCATTCAGCAACACATTACCCCTCTTCGCGTCCAAGGCGGGAGAGAAGAGCAGGATCTAGGTCTCGATCGGAGCCAGGGCCTATGCTGCCAATGAGCTCTCACGTGTAGGCGTGTTCCATGTCGCCAAGGGTAGCGATGTTCAAAAGGGTTACGAGGTCGACCAAAGTGGTGCGCGCGCGGTATCGGTCGAGACGATGATGTCGCGAGATGGCGCGAGATGGCGCGGGTCACGGGCACCCGCTCATGGCAGCCGAGCGCGAAGGCGGGTGGCTTGGAGATTCTGGCAGACTAAGAAACAAAGCGTGAAACCAGAAGCGAGCGCTGCAGGAGAAGGAACCTTGGAAAACACACGGCGCTGCAATGGGTGGGGGCGACGTATGCAGCCAGGAACCGGCGGCTATGACGTGGGCGGGTTCCCTTTCACCGTAGCCGCGTGCCGCGTCGCTGCATGTGCGCTGGCTGCGTCCCCTTGATATGAGCAACATCTCACCCACGCCGTTCCTGCCAGCCGCTTCCCACCGCCCAGTCTTACGTCCTCCACTCCGACGCATCCCGCTTTGGCTCGTCTCTTCACCACCCGACGCTGCCCACGAGCCCGCAGTGTGCAGTAGGTTGGTTTGCTGCCCCCAGAAGGCGCAGAAGTCGACTAACCGCCTTGGAGAGTTGATGCACCCTGACCATGTGAGAGATGGACTATACCAAGTGCATGCACGACATAGACTGACTCGGTATCTTCACCTCTGCAGGCCATACGCCGACGCTCACACCCAGACCGTCTGGGCTGGCCTTTGCAGGATGCATGTCCGCCCTGACATCCTCTTCACGGCACCCGACACTACCACTCCGCCCGCCGAGATGGTAACGGACAAGTTGCAGGGCCTCGACAACATGGTGACCGGCGCCCAGCTGGGCACCCTCGACTCCAATGGCGCCTCGTTGCAGAGCCTGCTCCAGAGGCGACACAGACGGCCGGGCATGCCCACGCGCATCTCTCTGCCCCCGGCTGATGTCGACGACCAAGTCCTCCCCTCTCCGCCTCCGACCCACGCTCTCCTCTCCCCGTTGCCCGAAGCCAACAAGCGCTTTGCCGGCCACACTCCGCTGATTCCACGCGCCCTTTCGCCAGTGCAAGACGAGCAGCCCGCTGTGCAAGAGCCGCCTGCCCAGGAAGAGCAAGCGGGCACACCGCCAGAAGACCAGCCCTTGATAGGCCCACTGATGCTGCCTACCAATCCCGTCGATGGTGCAAGCGACCACATAGCACTCGAAGTGCTGGACGATGTACTCGAAAAGGTTGCCAAGGACCAGGACAGGTTCAGCAAACTCAAGGGTGCCCCCGACCCTGCAGCTCCCCCCGCACCCGCCGAGAACGCCCAAGAGGACTTGCCATTGAGTCACAAGGCATCGGCCGCATCGCGCAATCCGTGCGCCACCAAACTTGTCGACGGCGTCAGGCTCAAAAGCCCCCCTTTGAACTTTGGAGC